GTAGTGTTACCCATGCTCGCGTTATTGCATCGATTATTCGTAATTGTCATGTTTCGTCTCATGCTCATTCATTGGAACAGCGCTATCTATTTGCTCCCCCCCCCCCCATTTGTGAGTCCTCTGCCTTTCCCTGTTTGCCCCCCCCCCACACACACACACATGCACACACACACACACATGCACACACACACACACACACACACACACACACACACACACACACACACACACACATACACACACACACATGCACACACACACACACACACACATGCACATGCACACACACATGCACACTAGCTTATGCCACTGTCCCCTTTCGCTTCTCGGATAGCACGGTCAACACATGCCATGCATGCACAAATACACATACTCTCACTATCATCCGCACACATACGCAACGCACACTGAGGGAATGGAGGTGTTGGTGGAGGTGTGTATGAGAGCAATCTTCAGGCTGTTGCGTTCAGCCCCAATGTGCTGGCACAGCAGGCGGGCAATATGTGCCCATGGGGGGAAGGATGATGTGACAATCTGGCACGAGGTAACAACAGTTGGTACGACGTCACGTGGTGAAGGGACAGAAAGGGATCGAGGATGGTGGATAACGTGCCATTATGAAACAGAAAGACGAGATGCGCGTTGGAAACAAAGGATCAAGCACGGGGGACGCAAACTCCCAGATGAAGCAGAGCGCAGATGAAGGCTAAGGTAGAGCATGACCAAAGAATAATAGCGATGGCACCAATGACATGACACGTGCGCATGCAGCTACAGATATAAACTACACGCATCCGGCTCACACGTACAACAAAGTACACACGACGCACACATGCAAAACACACACAATCACAAACACAGACACACAGACACACACAAACACACAGACGCACACACACACACACAGACACACACACAGACACACACACACGCAAACATAGATGCACAGACGCACAGACAGGCACACGCGCGCGCACTCATGATGCTCTTGCGGGGCTGTGAACTAAGGAGGCTGTGGAGGATGGGGCAGATTGCGATGTGTGTGATGCATCGAGAGCGTCGCGAACACGCTCGTACCCTGCGCCGGGATCGTCGTCCGTGTCGTCGTCGTCATCGTCGTTATCCTCCTCATCAAAGTCAAACGTGCCCTCCGGCAGGCGGGTGGCAGCGGGCCGCGGCCGAGACGCCTGCGAGTACGCGCGCTCGCTCGCGAGTGTCGGAGGCATCGAGTTGAAAGGGGACGACGGCAGCGTACTGGAGCGGTCCGGGTGTGGTTTGCCGTTGCCGTTGCCGCTGCCGCTGGTTTTGTCGTTGCTCGAAGAGCACATCTGGTCGATGCCCTCGTAAATGTCACAGCGCCGGCACACCTCGTCCAGCCCTTGCACCCACGATTGTGCGTCGCCATCCGGGGCCACCAAGAGGAAGTCGCGGTACGTGGTGCGGATGCCAAAAGCGCTGTGCTCATTGCCCAAGTCTGGCCACTTGATGGTTTGCACGGTGCGCGCGCTCAGATCCTGCATGACCTCGTTGCAGCGGTTCCAGGTGATGAGCTCCAAGCAGTCGCGGCGGAGGTTGATCTGCCCTTGCGGCCGCATGGCGATGAGCGGCTTTGCTGCTGTCGGGCTCTGTTTGAAGTACTGCAGGCGCCCGTTACCGCGCACCACGACCCACCGATGCTTCCAGTTCTTAACGCGGTGGCCCAGCTTGATCAAGTATCCGCACATCAGCACCTCGTCGTCATAAGGTTCCCGCTCCTGCTCAAACATCTCCCCGCGGCTTGCCGCCTCCATCATCGCCTGCGTCAAGCCAGCCATCGTCTACGCGCGTGTCTATGGGTGTATGTGTGTGTATGTGTGTGTGTGTGTGTGTATGTGTGTGTATGTGTGTGTATGTGTGTGTGTGTATGTGGGTGCGATACGTGTGCGTTTGTGCTGTATGTTGTGTGCTTGTGTGAGTGCAAATGCTGCGCTTTCTTTGTTGCTGTGTGGAAACCGTGGGAAAATGAGCCTGTGTGTGTGCGTGTGATGATGGGTTGGCTTTCCCGGCACTCTTGCACTGTGCCACGCTACCTTGCGTGTGGCGCAGTGAATGTGGTGAGTGGGCGAGCGTTGGGTACGAGCCGTGTGGACGTGATGAGACAGCACAGCGCTTGGTTGGTGTGCTTTGGAGGTGTGCTTGTCCTTGTGCTTTGCTTCTTGTTGGTGAGATGTGAAAAGGTAAAATATGCCTTTGGCGGAATCTGCCAAAGGCAATTTTGCCTTTGGTCAAGGCGCGCACCACGCAAAACGGCCAACAACCACAACAGAAGCAGAAGGCGTGATGATGGTCGCTGGTGACACCGGTCGTGGTGGTGGCCGGAGCACTGGCATGGGGGCGATGCCGAAGAAAGACCGCAGGCAACGGCAACATGGTGGCGGCAACAGTGGTGGCGGCAACAGTGGTGGTGGCGGTGGTGGTGGTGCAGACTCTGATAGCAGCAGTGAAGACGAGGACACGCTTCGATCCATTGCTGCACACCTGACTGCAGCATCGGACCTCTTTGTCTCACTTGGTGAGTGCTTGCGTTTGTGTGTTTGTGTGTGTGTATGTGTGTGTGTGTGAAAATGTGTGAGGGTGTGTGCGTGAGTGTGTGAAAATGTGTGATAGTGTGTGCGTGAGTGTGTGAAAATGTGGGAGTGTGTGAGTGTGTGTTTTCTCATGCGTGTGCTCTGTATGTGATCATGTGCGTGTGTGCATTTGCGCACGCGCAGTGCAACTGTGGTCCAAGAAGCGCCCTCCTTTGTCCCACCTGCATTCGCCCACACCTCTCTCATGAATGCTTCCTCTTTGCTGGTTCGTTTGCGGCGATAATCCAAGACGCGGAGAGCGTCAATGAATCTGCCATGTCCCAGCACCTGCCACAACAACAACAACAACAACAACAACAACAACAACAACAACAACAACAACAACAACAACAACAACAACAACAACAACAACAACAACAACAGGAACACAGCTTTCTGCTGCATGATAGTCATAGTCACTCAACAACAAGAGGCGGAACATCGTCGTGGGACAGCACAGACTGGCTGGATCAGCTGCTCGCACAGTCTGATCGACAAACCGTGAGAGCCATGGCGCCCTTGACACCGGCACCAGGAACACCAGCCCAGGCAACCACAAGTGCGGCAGCCACACACCCCACAGCGGCAACACCTCTGATGGAGCAGCATCACAGTACACATCAGCACGGCTTGTATCCAGCACAAGTCGGCGGCCACGCTGCTTCGTTTGCGGCATCACAGCAACAGCCAAACGTTGAGGCCCGTGCAGACTCGCCCGTGCATGGGGACGACAAAGACGAGGAAGAGGAGGTGGTCGAGGCGGAAGATGAAGAGGAGGAAGCATTCCCGCGACACTTCACCCAACAGACAAACGACGACGCACCCGCAGACGCCAGTGGGACGCCATATGCACACCGTGTCCACGCGGCACCAGGTGCACTGCCACCACACCACTTCAGTTCTGCACCAACGACAGAAGCAGCAACAAGCGCAACACCAGCAACAACAACAACAACATTGGCAGCAACAGGAGCGCGTTCTCTGGCATATGAGCATGAGCACCATTGGCAACAGCAGCAGCAGCAGCGGCAGCAGCAGCAGCAGCAGCTCAACTGGGAAGGTGTAGAGCGAGCACAGGTGACAGGTGTGTGGCCACCACAGTCATCCCAAGGTTCACACGACCAACAACAACAGCAGCAACAACAACAGCACCAGCACCAGCATGGTGGATCGGAGAGTGCGGCGCAGCTTGACGCAAGGCGGTTTGAAATCTTGTATCGTGCACAGTCACGCAAAGTGGAGGAACTCACGTCCATGCTGCACGAGGTGCGGGCGGCGCGTGTGCGCGAAACGTCGGAAATGCAGCACGCGCTCATTCATGCGCAAACGGACCGAGACGCCGCGGTTGGGGAGGTGCACATGATGCAATCACGCGTGCAGGAGCTGGAGGCGGAGGTGGAGAAGAAGCAGCAAGCAGCGGCACAACAAGGCGTACTGGTGCGACAGCTGCAACACGACAACCACGCGCTGGAGCTGGAGGTCCAGGGCCACAACGCACTCGTGCAGCAGCTACAGCGACAGGTGTCTGTGCTTGAGACAACGAAGCGCGAGGCAACAGCACGCGACGACGCCGTGCTGGATGGACTCAGGAGCACATATGAGGAGGAGATTGCGTCACTCAACCAGCTGCTGCGTGACGAGAAGGCGTCGCACCTCCGCCAGTGCGAAGAGCTTGACGCAACAATCGCCCATCTGCATGCACGCGTTCGGCAGCTGGAAGACCAGCTTGCACACGCGCAGCAGCAGCAACAACAACAACAACAACAACAACAACAACAACAACAACAACAACAACAACAACAACAACAACAAGATGTGGTGAAAGACGGTATGGGGAGCGTGGAATGTGTGGATGCAGAAGTGCAAACCGCAAGTGTCGTCGACGGTGCTTGTGATGTAGCGACGACAACAGCGACACCGATCGTGAGAGGCGATGGAGGGGGCCTGCATGTGTTGGCTGATCTTGCACCGGTACAGGACCGCGCTGGTAACGGGTCGATGATGCTTGATCACCTGTTGGGGATGGAGTCAACGCACACCACTCCGCACACCAGCATCCTCCTTGGCCGCGGTGGTGATGGTGGTGATGGTGGTGATGGTGGTGATGGTGGTGATGGTGGTGATGGTGGTGATGGTGGGAATGCGAAGCGGTACATTGGCGATGATGAGCAAGTAGCGCGCAGAGTGGCGACTGGGCAGCAGAGGACGCATGATGACGGGCAGATGGATGGTGGACAGATAAGCAGCGGTGAGGTGCACGAGGGTGGTGGTGGTACCGGGAACATGGGGGAACAGGACGTGAGTGGCGAAGTTGCCCACATGCTGCCGTCACCGATGCAGCCACCAGTTGCTGCTGCTTTGACAACAACATCGACAGCAGCGACACAGACGCCTGAAGTGGAGCAGGGCGAGGGCTCACGCGTCGCAACCACATCGGTGGGGGTGCAGTGGGATGGCGGCCGCGGTGGTTGGGGTGGTGATGGTAGCAGCAGCGAAGTGGTGCGTGGTAGCAGCAGCGAAGTGGTGCGTGGAAGCAGCAGCGAGGATGGCGCGGGCGCCGGCGGTGTTGACGAGCAACGCCACCCTGATGCACACGACACACACGCTGCATCCACGCGTCATCCACCACCCTCCACAGTCACAGTCGGCACAATGACTGTTGGCACTGATGGTGATGGTGATGGTGATAGCGGCGCGCTTGTCGAGGAAGCACAGCGTCGCCTGTGTCTGCTTGAGCAGGCCGTGTCGCTGCTGCGCGAACAGCTTGTGGACATGCGCGCACAGAAGGAGACGTTGGATGCGCGGGTGGCGCTGCTCACTCGCCAGCGCAACCCGGGTCAGGACGTCAGGCGCGAGCTCGCAGCGGCAGCAGACAAGTGCAGGCAGCTCGAGGTCCGTCTGGCGGGTTGAAGTGGGAGGTTTGCACATGACTTTGTTACGTGGTATGTGTGTGTGGCGTGTGTGTGTGTATGTGTGTGTGTGTGTGTGCGCATGTATGTGTGGGTGTGTGCGTGTATGTGTGTGTGTGCGTGCGTGCGTGCTTTCGCTGGTGATCTTCCTTCTTTTTTTTTTTATTGAGTGCTCAAACGTTGAACATCACCCCACACCACACCACACACCACCACACCGCACACACCACCACACCGCACCGCGCTGTGACGGTGTGTCGCAGCACGAGAACGAGCGTGCGCGGTTTCTGCTCTCGGCGCTGCAGGAGGAAGCACAGCGGCAGACGAGGGCGGCGGTGGCGGAGGCGGAACAGCGACTGGCGGCTGAACACACGCGCGAACGCGGGATGTGGGAGAAGAAACTCAAGGTGACGTTGAAGAAGAGCAAGCAGAGGAGTGGGGGTGTGAGGGCACGCGGTGTGCTGTGTATGTGGTGTGATGTGTATGTGTGTTGTGATTGTGTACACGTGTGTGTTTGTTAATTTGAACGATCTGCCCTTTGCCAGTGTGTTTGTGTGTGTGTGTGTGATATGCCTTTAACACACTGTATTTCCACGCAACTCTCGGTGCCTTCTTGCACGCAGTCTGTCCGGCAGCAGCACGTGCGTGCGTTGGATGAGATTCAGGAGAAAGTTGGCGAATATTTGACACACATGCGCGCGCGTGCCGCTGACGCCATCCGAAGACAGGTGAACGTGTTGTTGTTAAGTTGTTGTTGTTGTTGTTGTTGTTGTTGTTGTTGTTGTTGTTGTTGTTGTTGTTGTTGTTGTTGTTGTTGTTGTTGTTGTTGTTGTTGTTGTTGTTGTTGTTGTTGTTGTTGTTGTTGTTGTTGTTGTTGTTGTTGTTGTTGTTGTTGTTGTTGCTGTTGTTGTTGTTGTTGTTGTTGTTCCACTCGCACTTAGCACGCATATTCACAGATATGTTTGTGTGCTTGTGCGGATTTGCAGCTCGGAAAGGAGCAGGAGCGAACAGAGGAGATGACAATGCAGTGCGAGCGGCTGCGACGAGAGCTCAACAGAATACGAAAGCAACAGCAGCGGCATCACCAACAACAACACCACCACCAACAACAACAACAACAACACCCCCACGACCATCCGCAGCAAGGAGTGGGCGGGACAGGGCTGGTGTTGTTTGCATCACCACCCCTGCCACCACCCGGTAGCAGCACACCAGCGCGACCTGACGAGAGCGCACAGGGCAACGAGAACGAGGAGGAGAAAATCACCAAGACGAAGACGAAGACGAAGACGAAGAAGAAGAAGAAGACGACGACGACCAAGACGATGAAGCAGCATGACGTTGCTGCCGGTGATCACGTTGCTGCCGGTGATCACGATGGTGATGGTGATGGTGATGGTGATGGTGATGGTGATGGTGACACTAAAGACAACAGCGACAATCGCCTCGTTCAACATGAGGAAGCACGCGTGACGGCTGTGCCCCAACAGCCGCAGCAAGATCTGGTGCTGCCTGCGTGGGAACCCCTACAGCCCGTGAAGAGTGCTGTTGCTCGCACGCGCCGCCGCCGCAAACTCAGGAAGAAAGCCGATCTTCCACGCACCAGGCACGCTGCTGGTGGTGCTGGTGGCAATGGGAGGACAACTTCAGACTACTGAGCACACGACACTGCGCTGTCGTGTGCATGTGTATGTGTGCATGTGTATGTGTGTACGTGTGTGTATGTTTGTTTGTGGTTGTGTTTGTGGTTGCGTTGATTGCTGAGGATTCACCGGTTGATGTTGATCTGCTATTTTGTGTACGGATGTGATGTGACTTCCGCCCGACTTGTGCATGCATTCACTTGTGTACATACAGCCCAAGTAAACGGCCATAGATGATAGTGCACCACGAATCGCACCACAAGTCGCTTACCCACTCATTCACATGAACAAAACAACGCGCAAACGACCGACAAAGTCACAACTGGACAAAGGGACCAGACAGCAAAAGGGTCATGTTGATGGCACTTTGGAAGGCGGTGCACCTGTGCTGTCATGGTGAGCAGGCACAGGATCAACGACACGTCGCTTGCTGGTTCGTACGACACGCACAGGCACGTTTTCGCTGTTGTCATCATCCTCGTCTTTGGCAGCGTGCATACCTTGGTCGGCAGCACGTTCCTTGTCGACGCCACCACCACTCTCCTTCTCCTCCAAAACTCGCCGGGTCTGGTCCTCCTCACCCACCACGGATTCGGGCACCTTTCCCGTTGCATCTGCCGATGCTGTGGCTGTGGCTGAGGAGGAGGAGGAGGAGCCGACAGCGTGCTTTTGTGTAAACGCCCGTGCTTTTCTCAAGAACTCTCCGCGGCGGTACTTGAACTCAGATGACTGTTGATATGTGTGTGTGTATGTGTGTGTGAACGAGTGAGACACGAGGACAAGGGTTAAGAACGGCCACTGGAACACGTGCACACACACACACGTGCACACACACACACACACACGCACGCGCACACACACACGAACGCACACACACACACACACACACACACACACGCACACACACACGAACGCACACACACAAAGGCAACACGAGGGGGTGCACGTGAAGTCCACAGCACTTACAACGTCGGGCAGCAGACCGTCCTCAGGGTTAGGCTCGCCCATGAGCAGCTGCAACGATGTGAGGAGCGTCGAGATGTTGATGGACGGCTTCCACGATCCCTTTGGCGGCATCTTCAGCAGATCAAGGCAGATGCGTCCCGCCGTGTCAATGTTGGGGTGGTAGATCGGCGTGATGAAGCGAGCCTTTGGCGGCTCAAAGGGATAGCGTCCACTGCAGTCAAGCTCAACCCGAAACACGCCCTTTTCGTACGGGGAATCGGGCGGACCAGCAACATCAGCATGAAGCACAGTCACGTTTGAATCATCATGAACCCAACACTGCACGCCTGGCGGTGGACTCTTCTTCAGCAGCTGAATCTCCCTCATCAACCTCGCCCGCTGCGCAGCCATGGTCTGAGTGATCGTTTGCGCAAGTGCCGTGAGCTGCGTGAGAATGATGTGTGTGCATGCGTGAGCATGATGTGTGTGTGCATGCATGCGTGTGCATGCGTGTGCATGTCGTCTTCCCCCTCCTCCACCTTCCACACGTCCCTCCACACTGCTCCCCGCCCACGTCGTCCGTCTCCAATCCATGCAATGCCGCAGCCAGTGCAGACAAAGAGCGAGACAACCAGCCCATCTCATCTACCTTGTGTGTCTCTCTCACACACAAACACACACAAACACACACACACACTCCCTCACACAATCTCACCAACTCTTCTACTTTCTTTGCCTCTCTCCCTCTCCCTCTCCCTCTCTTTCGCCACACCTCCAACTCACTTGCTTCCACCACTCTGACCACCTGCAACAGCGCCTGCGTTGTCTTGGCTTCCTTCTTGCGCGCGCAAACAAAACACGTCCAGGCAAACATTTGCCAATTGCAAGTAACGGCACAAGTGCAATTGGCAAAAACCAGCCTCGAACACAAACACAAACAACACAAACAACACGCGCTCTGTTGTTTGTTCACTGTGCACAGCTGCTGGCTGGATCGGAATCATGTTCCCCTCTCCCTCCCCGTCTTCTCTTCAGCTGTCAACACACGCACAACACACAACACACACAACAAACACACACACACACACCAAACACACACACACACAGCAAGCAACCTCTGCTCTTGTTTCCCCATCTTCCCGTTGTGGCTGTGTTTGTTCATGAGCGTGCGATGAGAGCATGGCAGTGCAAGCCGATGCGGATCCCTTTGAGCTGTCTCACGACCAAGTGGCAGATGATCGTGCCCCCGGCTGTCATGTGTGACACGCGCGCGCTTCGTGCTTGAAGGCAAGTGCGTGGTTGCATGTGGTTGCATTCACTGCATCGTGCATGCACAGCAGCAACCACAACACAGGAACGCAACAACAAGCTTGCTCACCGCGTGTCGCTACCTCCTGCACACACACACACACACACACACACACGCACACACACACTTACGCACACACACACACACACACAGGCAAGGTGCCGATCCTGCTGCTCTTCCTCAACCCCACTTCACCCCCATTTGTTTGCACTGTCACGCTGAGGGGACACTGCTGGCTGTTGAAGTGCATGTGAGGCAGCATTTTCGCGTCGCACACACAGCAGCACATCGCCACCCGGAGCTGCACCCGCCACCATTGTCATTTCACTGCTGACACGCTTCAGCTGCAGATCACACAGCAAAGTCTGTCACCCCCAACAGCCACCACTGCCGCACAGAGACATACACAGATCAGCAGTCGCAGACACGTCGGATACCAGGCCTATCCTTCGTTAGCCGACCCACCATGGCTTCTGCACGAAGCCATCTTCGCCTGGTTGCCTGGGCAGTGCTTGCCACGCTTGTCTTGGGCTTCACAGGTGCGTCTTGGAGAAGGAGGAGGAGGAGTGCTGATGCAGTGTCCCTGTCTTCCTGCCCTCCTGCTTTGCCGTGCGTGTTTGCCTGCAGCTACCCCTGCACGACACCTCCAAACGCAACGAGTGTTGCCTGTATTCCACCACAACATCCCCTTCCTTGCCCCTGCGCTTCAACCTACCCCTGCACGACAACTCCAAACGCAACAAGTGTTGCCTGTATTCCACCACAACATCCCCTTCCTTGCCCCTGCACTTCAACCCAACACCCAAGCAACACTTCTCAATCTCACCTGCCTCACCATCGCCACTGCACACCTCACCATCGCCACTGCACACCTCACCATCGCCAGCAACCAATGCGCTCCGGCTCCGCTTCGACCCGGACTACAGCCCGCCGTCTGTGGCGGAGGCCACAGCAAACCCGCGCCGCTACCGCGCATACAACCGGCCCGTCCTCTCCCACATCCTGCGCCCAATCAAGGTGCGCATTGAGGACGACAACGGCAACCTGGTGACCTCTGGGCCAGACTCCGAGCTCGCTGTGACGCTCTTCGCGGAGTCGGCCTTCCTTGGCGGCGTCATCTTCCCCGATGAGACGCCCGTGGCAAACGCAATCACAGACGCAGGCAGCCAGATGCTGTATGCCACGTCTGGCAGCGAGCACCCGTACCAGGAGGACCACCGCACCATCCGCCAGGACCCCTACGAGACACGCGCGGTCGGCGGCGTCGCCACGTTCCCGCCCTTCTTCGCCACAACGCCCACCGTGTTTGTGGAGAACGCCACCACGGGGTACCCCTACGTTGGCGGGCAGGATGTGCTCATCAACGGCGCGTGCTGCAAGAGCATCTGGCGCGCCGCAACCTCGGACCCGACCAAGGCCTCCGCCATCGTCAGCAACCCGTACCACGTCTTCCGTGAGTTGACACAGCTTGCTTGCACGTTTGTCTGTCTGTCTGATGCGTTTGTGCTGGCGTGTGGTGTGAGTGCATGTATGCGTGCATGCCCTTGTGCTGTGCGTGCATGAGCACGTGTGTGTTGCTGTGTTGTGCGTGCTGTGGTGTGCTTGTTTGTACGTGTGCCATTGTTGCTGCCAATTGTCTGATTATGTGCACACAACAACACACCAACCAACATCGGCTCCCTTCCACCCGCCTCCCAATTTCAGATCGCGTTGAGTACCTTGAGTTGGCGGCGCCGTTGCCGACTTCCGTCAAGACAGACGAGCCGCTTCCTCCCATCGAGGTATCGCTGTGGTTGAGTGTACGCGTGCACGGTGTGTGTGTGTGTGTGCGTGTGTGCGTGCGTGCGTGTGTGCGTGTGTGTGTGTGCGTGTGTGTGTGTGTGCGTACACATGTGCGTGTGTGTGTGTGCGTACACATGTTCGTGTGCATGTGTGCACGTGTATCTGTGTTCATGTCCGTGTCCGCGTCCGTACTCCCTCTTCAAGCAACTCGTTGGCCTGTCCCACCACACAGCTCACACAACTCCATCCCCCCATCTTTGTATTCATCATGGCTAGGTGCGGCTGATGTCGCTCAACTACCAACAGCGCGACGCCGACGGCAACCCGACCCCAATCCCGCTCCTCCACGGCGCAGACACAGACGTCGACATCCAGCTCAGCGTCGCATGGGTGCGTGTGTTGTGTGTGTGTGTGTGTGTAGCTATCTGTCCATTTGCTCCGCCCGTCTTCTCTTCGTTCCCTCCAGCTGATGTGCACACACACATACACGCACACGCTCACACACACATACACGCTCACACACACATACACATTCAATCCACACCCCGCCTCACAATCCACCCCCCCCCCCGTCAAACCAAACAGGACCGGAAGATTGTTGCTGCGGACCCGCCGGCAAACATCTCTGTCAATGGCATGAACAGCGCGCGCCTGCTGTACTCCGAGGTTGAGCTGCACGGGCCCGGGGTCACCACCATCTTCACCGACGACCTCGCTGTGCGCAAGCGCGCGTCGCTGCTGCCGAGCGGCTACTACGGCGCTGTCTTCGAGGGCATCCACTTCAAGAAGGCCGTGCACAACCTGCGCCTCAACTTCACCATCACCCACCCTGGCGGCGAGCCATACTACCTTGACCTGACCACCCACGACGTGCAGAACCCCGAGCCGTACTCGCGCGCGGGCATGGGCTTCCCCGAGCTGCCGCCGCTGACGCAGTACACGCTGTTCAAGTCGCGCCCGCCGGAGGAGCAGTCGCAGTATGTCACGGACGAGGAGTTCCGGCCCGTCCGCGACCTGTACCCGTCCGTGTACGAGGGCTACGAGACACACGCCATGCTCTTCATGCGCGACATTGGCACGTCCGAGATGGGCCTGTCGTGCGATCTGGTGGAGGACGAGCGCCGGCGCGCGTGGTGCCTGCAGTCCGGCTACACCCTCAACGTCACCGGCGACACGGGCCCGGGCGTCCTCGTCTCAGCGCCCTTCAACGTCACGGGCCGTGATGCAAGCGAGCTGCGCATTTCGTGGGCAAAGCCCCTGGACGACATGCCGGAGGTCATCACCTTTCCCATGTGGCACCCGCTGCACCTGGAGCTGTACGACACAGAGGGCAAGCACGTTGTGGACGGGCCAGACGCGTTCCTGGACGTCTCCGTTGCTGCACTGGCCCTCAACTCTGCCAACGTCTCTGATGTTGCCGGCACGGCGCAGCTGTGCGACCCGGCGGTCAGCGACACCATCACGCTGGCGCATGGGCGGGTCAAGTTCAAGCACGGCGTGTGTGAGCCCGTGGACCACGTTGCTCTTGAGTTTACCGCCACCACCACCAAGGGCGCTTTTCTTCGCGCCGTCACCATCCCATTCGTCGTCCAGGGTGTGTGTGTGGGTCTGTGTTCGTTGTGTGTGTGTGGGTCTGTGTGTGTGTGTGTTGTGTGAATGTTGGTGTGTGTGTGTGTTCATTGTGTGAATGTGGGGGTGAATGTGTGTGTGTGTGTGTGGAGTGTGTTTCGCAGCATGTATGTGTGCATTTGGCAGGCGTGCAACACATGATATATGCGTGGGTTTGCGTTGTGTTCTCCGCGTGTTGCTTCCTTTTCCTCGCCTTGTCCAAACCGCCCTCCACTCCACTCACTCCACTCACTCCACTCACACCACTCACTCATTCCATCACCACCACAACCACCACGATCTTGTTACAGCCGACATTCCGTTTGGCATCATGCTTCCCATCGAGGCCTCCACCAGCCCCTTCAACGTCGACACGCGCGCGCTGCGCATGTTCTTTGAGCAGCCCGTGCTTGGCTTCAACGGCAAAGGCCCTGCCGATCGCACGTTTGGCCACACCGACTCTCGCATCGATGTCCACTACATCGACACCCGCGGCACTGAGCTCGAAGTCCTCGCCGTGAGTTTGCTTCTACTTCTGCTTCTGCTTCTGTTTGGTGGCTTTGCGTGTGTGGTGTGTGTGTGTGTGTGTGTGTGTGTGTTGATGTATGCACCTGTATGTGTGTGCGCGCATGAAAAGTTTTGTTGCGTGCTTCCTCGTAACGTTGTGACTTGTGCACTGATGTTGTGGTGTTTGCAATGCGATTGAGCGCCTTCTCACAACAGCAATACAAACACACGCACACACACACAACCACACACATAAAATGCACACACATGCCCGTCTTGAACCAGGCGCTTGACGAGGCGCGCAACACCCACCGCATCCGCATGTTCAACGGGCCCTTCAGGAAGGAGCATGCCGAGACAGTCGCGCAGTGGATCTCGCACACAGCATCCGTACGTCCACATTGCTGGCCACCCTTGCTTGTTTCAATCACGCCAAGCAACAAACATGCACACGAGTGCGCACCAACAGCAAACATCCACAAGCACACTCAAAGACACACAAACAACAACCCAAATGCACAAATGCCCCCATTCCCTCACTAACGTCCTCACTCACTCACTACCCTCTCCCTCTCCCCCTCCCTCCCCCTTTCAGGACTTTTGCGCGTTTACGTTCTTTGGATCGACGGAAGACCTGCGGAACCGGCGGCGCTTCCCCAACATCTGGCGCTTTGGCTTTGGCGAGGAGATGTACTACAAGGCCCTGGTCGACAGCATGGCAAACAAGATGTGGCGCAAGATCATTGTGGTGCACAGCCGCGAGAGCACGACGTTCACAGACGCGTTCTACCGGTCGCTGCGGCAGGCCGGCATCGACGTGGTTGCGGACGTGAAGATCCCCGACGCCGTGGTGGAGAGCGGCGGGTCGCTCATGCCGTACCTGCGCGAGATCAAGGACACCGGGTACAAGGTCATCCTGACAAACGTGCGGGACAAGATGGCGCAGCGGCTCTTCACGGACTTTGTCGAGGCGGAGGTGGACGCGTCGCACGGGTACCAGTGGGTTGGCACGGAGCCCACGCTGCAGACGCTGGACCTGCTCACGCTGCCGGACCCGCACATCCACCTGGCGGGCGCGCAGTTCCTGACGCCGATGTACGGTCTTGGGCGCGGGGCGCAGGCCTTCCAGGCGGCGGCGTTCTCGGACTTTCTGCTGCGCAAGGAGCTGGGCGGCATGGACCCGTTCTGGGTCGGGGACCGCGACTTTGACATCAACAAGCTGAACATGTGGACGTTCTCCGAGGTGGTGCTGGCGCTGGATGTGGCGTGGTTCCACGGGTTTGGGCTGGTGGCCATGATCGACTTCAAGATCACGTCCACCACGGAGGCGTGCAACAACCTGGTTGGCTGGATCTACAACCTGCCCATCCACTCTGGGTCGGCCATCAACTTCAACGAGAACCTGGACCGCATTGGCTTCACGGGCGTGTGGGCGCAGCTGGAGGACATGGATCTGCGGCAGCTGAAGCAGCAGCAGGAGGCCGCCGGCGAGGAGTTCAACCCCTGGTCCATCACCACCGCCATCGACATGAAGACCAACGACGCCGACGTGGTGGAGACGCGCTTTGTTGATCCGCGCACACGCGTGCGCAGCGACTGGCCGACCTACAGCCCCGCCGCCACGCTGACGCGCCGCCGCTTCCTGACGGGCGACGACCTCGGCGCCGGCATCACGCTGTACAACTTCACCGACCTGGTGCCCGTCACGCACACGTGCGGCGGCGGGTGCGGCGGCGGGTTGATCAACGCGTCCGAGTCTGCGTACCACTACCACTACGGCACGTGCGTTGGGCCGGACGAGTGCGAGTGCATCCTGACGGCGGACGGGTCGCGTGCGGCGTTCACGGGCGAGCAGTGCAGCGTGCCCAACTGCCTGCGCGCGTGCCGCAGCGGCGAGTGCCAGTACGTCAACGGCGACTCCGTGTGCGTGTGCGACCCCGGGTGGGAGGGCGAGATTTGCGACGTGGCCATCTGCAGCACGTACGGGTGCTCGCCAGCCCACGGCCAGTGCACGCTGCCAGACACGTGCGCGTGCGACCCGGGCTACTACGGGCGGGACTGCAGCTCCGCGTGCATGTGCCTGAACAACGCGACATGCAGCGACGGCGCAACCGGCAGCGGCGAGTGCACGTGCACGGCCGGGTACTTTGGGCCGACGTGCGCCAACGCGTGCACGTGCAAGAACGGCGTGTGCGACGACGGGGCGTCTGGCAGCGGCACGTGCAAGTCGTGCGACGGCGGGTGGATGGGCACCAACTGCGACCTGCGCGTTGCCGCTGTTGCTGTGCCGGGCTTTGTTGCGGGCCTGGTGCTGATCGGGCTGGTTGCGCTGGGCGTGCGCTGGTTCCTGCGCCTGGCCAAGCGGCGCGCGCTGCTGGCAAACACGGACTGGAAGGTGCAGTGGCAGGACGTGAAGCTGCACACGGCGGACCTTGAGGTGAGCCAGAAGGTGGAGTCGATGATGTTCCAGAGCACCATGTCGACGCGGCAGATTGGGCAGGCCAACTTCCGGGCTGCGGAGCGCATTGGCAAGTACCGCGGCGAGCTTGTGCAGATTGTGCGGGTGAACAAGCCGACGGTGGAGCTGTCGGATGGGCTGCGAGAGGAGATTCGCGATGTGCGTGAGGTGCACCACTCCAACCTGCTTCGGTTTGTTGGTGCGTGCCTGGACGAGCCGAACGTGGCCATCCTGTACGACTACGCGCAGAAGGGCTCTCTTGACGACGTCGTGAGCAACCTGGATGTGAAGCTCGATGTGAACTTCAAGTACCACATTCTGAAGGAGGTTGCTGCCGGGATGCACTTCCTGCATGGCTCTGTCTTCAAGGCGCACGGTCGTCTTCGTTCTGCCACGTGTTTCATTGACAACCGCTGGACCGTCAAGATTGGAGGTGTGTGTGTGCGTGGGGATGTGTGTGTGTGTGTGTTGTGTGTGTGTGTGGTCGAGCGTGATGGCTGTAGCTGTTGTGTGAGCTGTAGCTGTTGTGTGAGCTGTAGCTGTTGTGTGAGCTGTAGCTGTTGCGAAGTGTGTTTGCGCTTGTCTGCTTTTGCTTGCTTGCATTGGGTTGCTGATTTCACCACAACTCATATCTTACACCTCCTCCACCATCATCACCACTCATCACCACTCCCATGCATCGTCACGGTAGACTATGGCCTGCGGCAGTTGCAGGCGCATCAGCAGAAGGACGAGGAAGCGGCGATGAACGGGGCGTCGACGCTTCGCTGGACAGCGCCGGAGCTGCTCTCGGGCGTGTCTGCCATTGACGACATCCTTGAGGGAACCCAGCAAGGCGACGTCTACAGGTGCAGTCGGTGGCAGTGAGATGTGTGTGTGTGTGTGTGAATGGGGAAAGGGATTGAGCTCAAAGGAAGAGGAGAAGAGGAGGGCTGCGGTTGTGTACAGATGTGGTTGTGGCACTGCCACAGTCTTCTCGGCTCATTCAACACCCTCATCTGATATGCATGCTTGCTCCATCGCCCCTCCCCCCGCCAACGCTCGAATCCCCACAACAGCTTTGGCGTGATGATGAACGAGGTGTGGACGCGCGAGCAGCCGTACGACGACTTTGCGCTGTCGATGGAGGAAGTGATTGCCAGTGTCTCTGCCAGCGCCAACCAGCAGGCGCTTGTGCAGCCGCTGCCTGCGAGGCACAACCAGGTTGCACCAAAGCCAATCCAGGTCAAGTCTGCGTGGACATCGCCCAAGGACGGCACTGACGGCTCGCTTGTTCGCCCGACGGTTGCGGAGGACACACCACAGGGCCTGAAGGAGCTGATGGAGCAGTGCTGGCACCCGGACCCTGCGCAGCGGCCCGCGTTCCGTGAGATCTGCCAACGCCTCGACGCCCTGCACCCAACAGAGGGCAGCATGGTCGACAACCTCATCTCAATGGTGCGTGTTGGGGTGGGGGGAGGAGAGGGAGCGTGTGTGTGCATGCATGTACTTTTGTTTGTGTGTGTGGGTGTACTTTGTTTGTTTGTGTGTGTGTGTGTGTGCTTTGTTTGTGTGTGTATCTACTTTTGTGTGTGCGTGTGTGTGTTTAGGGCGTGATGCCATGGCACAACACGTGTGCGGCATTTTTCTTCACGCTGTTTTTTCATGCCTGTTTGCCATCTTCCACACACACACGCACACACACACTGCTTTGGGCTGTCTCCGTCCATCTTTTCATCTGTGCACCTGTTCATTTGTGACCATGTTCACACACCGCCATCCCTTCTCATCTTCACACCTCACCACACCTCCTCATGTTCACGCAGCTGGAGAAGTACTCGCAGAACCTCGAGGGCATTGTGAGCGAGCGGACCAAGGAGCTGGCTGCGGAGAAGGAGAAGGTGGAGGAGCTTGTGTGCCGCATGCTGCCGAAGCAGATTGTGGAGGACCTGAAGGTTGGCAAGAACGTCAAGGCCGAGAGCTTCGACAACGTCACCATCTTCTTTTCCGACATCGTCGGCTTCACGCGCATCTGCTCGCAGAGCACGCCACTGCAGGTGCGCTCGTGGGGTGTTGGGGGGGGGGTTGTGTAAATAAGGGGTGTGATGAGGAAGGAAGAGAAGCACGCTGTGCGCTGCGCTTGGTGGTTGATTCGATTGCTTCATTGTCTCACTCAAACGACCAACACGCCACAACACAACAACACCGCTGTGATGCGCAACAGGTGGTTGACATGCTGAATGACCTGTACACGCTCTTCGACACGATCATCGAGGACTACGATGTCTACAAAGTGGAGACCATTGGCGACGCCTGTGAGTTGGCCGTTGTGTGTGTGTGTGCTTGTGTTGCTTGTGTGTGTGTGTGTGTATACGTTGAGCCTTGGTTGCTGTGTTGCTCGTGTGTGTGTGTGCTTGTTTGTATTGCTTGTGTGTTTGCTTGTGTGTTTGTTCTGAAAGTCTTGGTCCCCTCTGCTCCACACGCCCACCACTCCTCACAACCAACTCACCGCACACCTTGATCAACCTCCTGTGTGTCTGTGTGTGTGTGTCAGACATGGTTGTGTCTGGCCTTCCTGTGCGCAACGGCGACCAGCACGCCGGCGAGATTGCTTCCATGGCACTGCACATGCTGAGTGCCATCACCAAGCACCGTATCCGCCACCTGCCGCACGAGCGCATGCAGCTGCGCATTGGTCTGCACTCTGGCCCTGCCGTTGCTGGTGTTGTTGGCACCAAGATGCCGCGCTACTGCCTCTTTGGCGACACCGTCAACATTGCCTCGCGCATGGAGTCTGGCGGCTTTGGTCAGTCGCTGTGTGTGTGTGTGTGTGATTGCGCGTGCGCTTCTGTTGCGCATGATCATTGTCAAGCGTGTTTGCCTCAGGCCATGATACGCCACCAGTCCTTCATGTGTTCTTCAAACCATCACCCACCATTCACCCCGCTCACCCACTCATCGACCTGCTCTGAATCAACCACCAACATCACTCGCCCTAAATCAACCATGAATATCGCTGCAGCGCTTCGCATTCACCTGAGCGACAGCACCGCCAAGATCCTGGAGCGCCTTGGCGGCTACCACCTCGAGACCCGCGGCGAGCGCCAAGTCAAGGTGCGCATGTGTGTGTGTGTAAGTGATCAGTGTGTGTGGTGTGTGTGTGTGTGTGTGTCTGTAAGTGATCAGTGTGTGTGGTGTGTGTGTAAGTGATTAGTGTGTGTGGTGTGCATGTTTGTGTTCAGTGTGTATGCGTGTGTGTGTGCTCTTGTGTGTGTGTGTGTGCTTGTGTTTTGTGTGCGTGTTCGTACACATGCAGTGTTGGTGTTGTGCTCTTTTGGCTGCGGATAAGCATGTTTGTTCACATACAACACCTTCGTTTGCCCCCGCCCCATGTTGTATTGTTTCTTGGTTTTCATCTCAGGGCCGTGGCATCATGACAACATACTGGCTCAACGGCAAGGACGGGTTCGACATGCCGCTGCCGACAGAGGAGATGCGTGCGAGCGAGTCCCAGCACGAGTTCAAGTGAAGATGTGGCTCTGCCTGCATCCTGCCAACACAGTGTCGATATTGCGGTGCCGACGCTTTGTGTGTGCTGTGTTGTTGCGTGCGATCCCACCCATTCTTCTCCATGGCTGTGCTTTGCGTGCTGTGAGATGCGTGTCTTTGGTTGCGTCTCTGTCCTCTGTTTTCCTTGTGTGTGTGTGTGTGTGTGCGCGCATAAGTGTGTGTGTGTGTGCATAAGTGTGTGTGTGCGTGTGAAGCGCTTTCATGGACGGTGGTCTCCGATGTGTTGCAAGAGTGCTGGCTTGTTCGGTTTCCGTACATATCTCTATGTGTGTGCTTCTCCCGCTCTTTGTGCCTTGTGTGTTGACCTCTCTCAGCGCTGTGTCAGTCTCTGTCGAGTCTCTCTCTCTCTCCCTCTCCAGTCTCTCAGTCGCCTGTATTCATGTGTATCTGTGGACCATGAAATCGGTGTAATGCAATATCCGCTCGATTGACATGAGGAACAGCAGCGGCGGTGGTGCTTGAGGAGGACGAGGAAAAATGGATGTGCAAACGGAAGCGCACAATCACTGAAAGACACACTTGTTCAGGAACACACACACACGCACGCACAAGCACAAGCACAAAACCACGGAATGAATCGTTTGCATGTCGTACACAGCAACTTGTAGCACACGTGTAGACATGTAAACACGCCAACGAGCACACACACACACACACTCACACAAACACATCAAGACAGACGGAACAACCCAAGGCCTCAGTCGCTCCAGTCCTCGTCATCCGACCACTCGCTGCCGGTCTCGGACAATTTACAACGCGCCACCTTCAGTCGCCTTTCCCTTTGTCTTTTAAAACACGGGTGAGAACGTTCTTGGGCAAAGCTTTCTTGTTTAAACTTCTTCGCCATGACGCTCAATGAACCAAACAAAAGGGGTGCTGAGGGGAAGAGAGAACTTGTCGTGCATGTGTGGTGAAAAGGGTGAAACTCGCCTATCAACATGGATGTGAAGTCAAGCAGAATGGTAGAATGAAGACAAGAACGACTGTGCGTGCAAACAAAGGCCGCAGGTTCGCGTGAAAGTAAAGCATGCAACACACACACACACAAGTGTGAATATCACACGCACATGAATAGCCGGCATGTACGCATAAATTATCTACAGTTCAACTTGATAGCGAGAATGCTTGAGAATGCGTTGCGACACAGCATTGGTGTCGCTAGCGTCCGGACGCGTGTTCGTTTCTCCTTGCTGTCGTTGCTGCTGTTGCTGTGCTCGCATTGGCATGAGTGCATCAAACGTGCCACTGCTCAAGCTTGCGCCATCGGACGCTGCCGTTGGAGTGTCGATCGTCGGCACATCCTCCATGGTTGGCGTGACAGGTCGCGTCTCGTTCAGCGTGGGCTCCTCCTCCTCGTCGTCGTCACAGTTGCCGTCGCCTCTGCTTGCAGCGATATCAAATGTTGCGTTTGCATCGCCCGGCGCCGCCAAATCAGATACAGATGGCATGTTGAGGCCCCAGACCTTGACGGTCTTGTCTGCGGATGCGGAGAAGAGGGAGTCGTTGTGGCAGAGCAGCGCCGTGATTGCGTCGTCGTGGCGGCCGTGGTCCTCAACCGCAGACAGCCGGTCCGCCCGCCACACCTGAACCACGACACGCGTCATTGGAGGAGCGCGAGGTGTTGGAAATGAGAACAACACACGAGTTGCCACGGGGTCGTCATGGAAGAACAAGCAAAAACAGAAATGACGTACACAAATACTACACAAACACGCACACACAAGCGCATGAAGGCCACGTAACACATCAGTACATGCTGATGTGTGCACGCACCTTCATACCGCCCTTTGCAGAGCCGCTGGCGAGGAACTGGTTGCCAGGGAGGGCGCAGAGGGCAGAGACGGCGGTGCTGCTGTGGGCACCCGTGGTCGTCTGCCGGTTCACCCAGCCAACATCATTCATCGACCACTTCTTGATGCTGCAACAGGTTCAAGTGCAAACACGAAACCAGGAGGGCGCGTGGGTGAGGAAGCAGGGGTGATTTCATTGTCAAACAACTGTTGCCATTCTATGGTGCAACCACGTGTGGTTGCGACTCTTGACTAAAGACCAGCTCAAGAGTGGGTCGACATGGCACCATCATGATCATCACCATCATGATCATGATGATCATCATCATGATCATTGCTCCATTACCTGCAGTCGTCGGAGCCACTGAAGATGTGTTCGCCAGCGAATGTCAGCGCATGCACGCGGTCGTAGTGTGGCGGCTCGAGCGCCTGGGGAGAGAAGGGGAACAGGAAAAGGACAGGGCACAGAAAGCATTGGTGTTAGAGGAGATGGGCTGGGCAGGTGATGGTGGAGGATTTGCACCGAATCAAACGACCATGCACACAAAACAAAAGCCAATCAAACAAAGACGGAAAACGAACAAAGCAAGGCCAAAACTTGCGCCCAATCACAACCCAAACCAGCCAAACAAACCAAGACCAACCAACATACAGCTGCAAGCGCACCTGGTATGTGAGAGTGCCGCCGGGAAGATCGGGGACGTCGAAGACGCGGACCTTGTGGTCAATGGTGGTGAGGGCCAGACGGGTGCCGTCGTCGTTCAGGCGAAGCGTCTCAATCTTTCCTCGGTGCGCAAAGTTCTTCACCTCGCGCTTCATGCGCAGGTCCCAGATGCGGAGCGAGCGGTTGGAGGCGGCAAACAGGTACGTGCCATCAGGGCTGACCTGGATATCCTGGATTGTGTCCTTCTTCACCGTGAAGCGATCCATGTCCTCACACGTGCGCACATCCCACACCCGCACCACGTTCCGGCACACGGTCAGGAAGTGCGTGTCCAGACACGCCAGCGTTCTCACGGGCGCCTCGTGCCCTGCAAGCGTCTGTTGCAATGCGCCGACCTCCAAATCCCACACGCGCGCCGTGCGGTCCTTTGACCCGGTCACAAGCTTGTTGCCGCAGGCCGCCAAGCACAACACCTGATCCTCGTGGCCCGTGATGGTGTGCGTGTTTCGCAGCACCGTGGGGCGCGTCCCTGGCGACTGCTTCTCCTCCACAATCTCGGTGACTACGGTGGTTGGCTTGCGGCGGGGTCGCCGTGCCATGCGAAGCGTCATCGGCAGGCCGCTGAACTCCCGCTCTGTGCGCCGCTTGTTCTCCACGGCCTCTGTGCTGCGGCTGTAATGCGGGGTCTTCTCAAGTGCAGACACGATGCGCTTGCGCATAGTACGAAGGCGCGACGATGCGGACGATGACGAGGACGCCCTGCGCCGCTCCCCGTCGTCCCCATCACCGCCAGCGGTCTTCTTCTCGTCCTTCCCCTCATCCTTCTCCTTGTGCTGCGGCAGCTGCGATTTGCTGTCGCCTGACATCCGGGCATCTGCGGACACGGACATGGCGCTCGTCTCTGCCGTGAATGTGCGGCTGCGGGGGCGGTTTCCTTCGGATGTTGACAGCGATGTCGGCGACGTCGTACCGCCACTTCGCGTCCCACGCGGTCCATTTGTCGCGCGCTGTTGTTGCTGCTGCTGCTGCTGCTGCTGCTGCTGCTGCTGATTGTATTGCTGTTGGCGGGCCAGCGTTGATGTAGTTGATGATGATGCAGCAGCAGCTGCTGCTAGCGGGGTGGTGATTGTGCTTGACGTGCGCGATCGCTGGCGCTCTGCCCGCCGCGTCGGCATCTTCGACGGCGATGCATTTGGCGACACCATATGCTGTCGGGACCGCTGCCGCTGCTGGAACCGTGAAGACGCTGACTGGTGTTGCTGCGCGGGTGTGAGCGGCGCTGTGGCAAGGCTGTGCAGGATGGCGTTCTTCGCCTCCGCCTCCAACTCCAGCTGCCGCACACGCACACGAGTGCGCTCTGATGCCAGCTCCTTCCTGACGAGGGAGGAGAACATGGAGCGCAGCAGCATGTGCGCCTCCTTCTGTGTTGCCGAGCGGATGAGATTGTCGCCCTCCTCGCTGATATCGTCCATGGTCAGGCATGCGCGAATGCCCTGGTACTCCATGCTCAGCAGCGAGCGCTCGTTCTCCTGGATCTCCTCCGTGAGCAGATTCATCTCCGTCTCGATGCGCTCAATCTCAGCAGAAATCGTCTCCGCCCGTGCACTCGCCGGCTGCTTCTCATCATCGCCATTGCCACCATCACCATCACCGTCATCGCTGTTGTTGCCATCATCATCGTTGTCGTTGGCGTTGCCCTGATCCCCCGTCTTATCGCCAGCTCCGCTTGTCCTCCCTGCTGTTGCTGCCTTGCCCCTTTTCTCGGCCTTCGCGCCATCATCACCATCAGCATCAACATTGGCGCCATCGTCTTTGGCCTCGCCAGCCGTGCGCTTGATCGTCTTCGCCTCCTCCAGCAGGGCCTGCTTCTCCTTGGCCAGGTCCTCGTCGCGCCGCTGCACCAGCGCCTCAATCTTCGACCTGACCGTCTGGTACAGCACTGCGCTCGTCACCTCCTGCTCCAGCTTGGCCCGCTTCCGCTCGGCCTCCACCTTTGCTGACCGCCCGACGGAGCTGCGCCGCCGCAGCACGTGCCGTGCCACCCGCCCCAGGTGCGATCGCAGCTGTGACGACGACGACGATGACGATGCCGCCGTGTGCTTTGATGCCGCCGGGGAGGAGGCGATGGCGCGGTGCGGCTCCCGTCGCTGCATGCGCGCCTGCATGAGCTGTTGGCGCAGGTCCTGGATCTGGTGCTGGTTGTCCTTCATGGACTGCTTGAGCTTCTGGTTCTCCTCCGTGATGCGGGCCATCCTCGCTTCCTTGTTCCGCAGCATGCGCTCCCACTTGCTGGCGTCTGTGCGCTCCTTGTCCAGGTTGCGCTTGAGCTGCACCACCTCCCTGTTGTGCCGCACGGCCCTGGCTCTGCTCTTCTTCATCTCCGCCTGCGCCTGCTCCACCAGCCGCTTTCGCTCCGCCTTTGCGTCGCGGATGCTGCGTTTCAGCGCATCAATCTGCGCCACGGCGCGCTGCCTGTCCTTCTCTGCGCGCTGCTGCCTGGCTCGCTCCTTCTCCATGCCTGACAGCTTCGATTGCAACTCCTGCAGCCTTCGCTGGTGGCGTGTGCGCTCCACCGTGTTCTCCTCGCTCGCGTGCCCCTCCATCTCCTTGAGGCGGCGGCGCAGCGTCTCACGCTCCGCCAGCACCTTGTCGCGCTCCTGTTTCTCCTGCAGCAGCCGCCGCTCGTACAGCTCCTTCTGCTTCTGGATTTCGTTCTGTGCCGCCTCCAGATGTTTCAGCAGGTTCTCGTGCAGGACGATGCGCGTCCCGAGCTCTTGCATCATTTCGCGGTACTTGACCATGAGCTCTGTTCGCTTGGCGCTTTCCTCGTCCGTGTCCTTGCCTTTCCTGCTGCCACTTCTGCTGGCCGCTGATGACGCTGTTGGTGTTTCCGTGGCGCTCCCTACATCCTGCACGCCCCCGTCTTCTGCTTCGTCATCGCCGTCGCCGGCAGCGGCAGCCGCAGCAGTCACAATGTCGCCTTCATCCTCAACCTCGCTGCCTTCCTCCCAGGCCGATTTGGGCTCAGCGACACCCCCATCATCAGCATCCTCATCCTCGTCCTCCTCGTCCTCCTCATCCTCCTCCTCCTCGTCATCGTCGCCGCCGTTGAGGAAGCGGTCGTAGATGGTCGAACTGTCATCAACGACGCTGTCTTCGTCACTTTCGCCACCTTCATCATCGTCTTCATCGTCTTCATCGTCTTCATCGTCTTCCTCGTCATCATTGCCCTCTCCTCTGTGTCGCAGCACCCTCTGCTTGCTTGGGGCCGGCTGAGCGCTCTCCCCCTCGTCACCAACAACATTCTCCTGCTCCTCCTCTGCACCGCCGTCACCGCCTTGCTCATCGAAGCTGAGCCCGTATGTCTCCTCCAGCTCCTTCATCACCTGCAGGCTCTGGCTCACAATCTGCACAGGCAGCCATTCGCGTGGGCCGCATTGCAGGGAGGTGCGGTGAGTTGGAATGCATAATGAACACAGGCCCACACTTACATCCACTTTGAGTGAAGCACAGACACGCAGGCGAGCAAGCCATGAACACACATGTATTCACGCGCAGGCGTACATGCCACACACATGTGCACATGAACACATGAACACATGTACACATGCACTACCAAGGACTTCGTGGTGTGTACGCACGTCTGAGTTGGTGTCTGATGTCCCTGGACGAGAGAGGTTGATGGAGTTGATGTCAAACATGGATGTTGCCGTCCACGGTCGGACGATGGTTGCCGTTGGCGGGCGATGCTCGACGTTCTGTTGCGACGACAACACATGACCGCCACCGCCGCCAGCACTACCGGTGCCGCTGGTGTTGAGGGCGGTCGTTGTACGTACGGCCTCCAGTTTGGTGCGCAGTTCAATGTTCTCTGACAGCAGCACCTCAATTGTCTTCTTCGAATCGCCATCAAGCCCTGGGCGAAGGCGTGTAAAGAGAATGTGAGTCAGTGTGTGTGTGTGTGTGTGTGTGTGTGTGTGTGTGTGTGTGTGTGTGTGTGTGTGTGTGTGAAGATCACCCATGTCTACACATGAGGTGTGACAACACGCGTGTGTTGCCATTGCAAGGAGTATCGCCACTGTGAAGTGCACGCTGGGCCTGACCTTGCAATGCTTCGACCTGAGTGGCCACAGTCTCCCGCTTGAACTGTGTGAGCTGCTCCTTCAGCTCTGTGTTCTGCGATGTCAGCGCCCTGTTTCGCTCCCGCAGGTCGTGCAGTTCCTTGAACATGTCCTCCGCCTCCTCAGAGTCGGGATTCACCTGGCCGCGGGTTGGTGATGGTGGTGGTGGTGGTGTGATGAAACGGGGAAGGTATGCGTGTGTATGTGAGTGTGCATGACGGAGAAAAGGGATCGTAAGAAACAAACGCACCGAAAGCACACAGACAAGTGCACACACGACCGACACCCCATCCCTCCTCTTGTGCTGCGTGGGACTCACCGGCCGCCGGCCCTGGCGGTACTCCATCAACTCCATGTTCATCTTGTGGATTTGCTCGCGCAGGAACTGGATCTCCCGCGAGGCGCTGTCTTGGTTGATCACAACCTGTCGTGTCGCGGTGTCGCCGGTGTCAGAGAGTCACACACAGCCGGGTGAGCGGATGGGCAGCTGGTTTCACATCGAACAAGAGATGGTTGATTGCTTGCCAAAGGAGGGCAAGGAGGCAAGTGGCGTTCAACGTTGTGCTTCGTCTCAAGCTGCCCATGCAATAGCGTGCGTGCATCGATACATGCACACGCACACGCACACGCGCACGCACACGCACACGCACACGCACACGCACACGCACACGCACACGCACACGCACACGCACACGCACACGCGCACGCGCACGCACACACCTTGTTCTGGATGTTGCGAGCGCGGTTTGCGTATTTGAGGGTGTTGAGTGTCTCCATGAGGTCATTGTCGGCAGGCGAAATGCATGCAATCATCAGCGTCTTGCTGTTCCCGCCGAGCGAGTCTTGCAGAATCCGTGTCAGCTGAGAAAGGGGGAAGAGATGCAATATTGGGGTGTGAGCACAGGTGAAAGGGCGGGAGCAGAAAGTTGACGTGGGGTGTACTTGAAGTGGGTCGAGAGCACACGTCTTTCACAAAACCTCTCCAGGCACACACACACACACACGCACAAACAAACACGCACACACGCACAAGAGCGACAACACGCCAACACAGCGTGGACACCTTGTTGCTGCGGTATGGCACGTGGCTGCCGCGGCGTGTTGGGTCGCCAAGAGCGCTGATGACGTTACCCAGGGCAAGCAGGCCCGAGTTGATGTCAATGCCCTCCTTTGCTCGCTCGCCAGTCGCGTGCGTCCGCTTCAGTCGCTCAGATCCCTGTGAATGTGTGTGTGTGTGTGTGTGTGTGTGTGTGTGTGTGTGTGTGTGTGTGTGTGTACAAGTATGACCAAGCGCACACACACACATACACACACAACCACATGATCAACAAGCATACCATGTCCCCAACATCCAGCACACACACGACACACGACACACACACACACACACACATACGGCGACTGTAATCCTCGCACGCACCGCCAAGTCGACAAAGTTGAACTTTGAAGTTGTTGTGACGGTCTCTGTCGCGCCGGGGACCTGGCTTGCGCCGCTCCCGTCCTCCTCCGCTGGTGCCGCCGCCACATCATCACCGCCGTCCATCCCACGCTACCCCGGCACAACGATGGTGCGCATGCGAAGGTGAGATGGATTGCCAAGGAAAATGAGAAGATTATTCCCACCCTGAAGCACACTTGCAAGCACAATCGAGCTAGTGCGCACACACGCACGCACGCACACACACACACACACGCACACAAAACACCCGAGACGTTGTATGTCACCTCGCGCATGGCCTGGGAGATGTGCCTTCGGTGTGTGATCCAGATGGTGAAGATGGCATGTGATCGAGATGACCGCTCGTTCATATCTGTGGATGCGGTGACGCGGTCCAGTGATCCGCGCCGGAGCAAGTCCATCACGTCCTCTCGCCGCGTCACATCGCAGTGCGACACTCCGCTGATGTGGATGGTCACGGTGCCGTCCTCCGTCCGCTCATCGCGCACGCGCACGGGCGCCTCCTGCCGCAGACCAGGCGTGCTGCACAGACAGCGGAGCAGGGGAGAGTGGGAAGGAGTGAGGAAGTGTTTGTGTACGTGCGCACGTTTGTGTGTGTGTGTGTGTGTGCGTGTGTGTGTGTGTGTGTGTTCATGCAAATATGCGTATGTCTCTTCCTGAACATGCACAAGTACACACACACACATGGACACACACACACATGGACTCACACACACACACACACACTGTCTGTCTGTCACTGCGTTTGCGGTTGTCCGTTTGTGACTGGACCCTGTGATGGGACACCGTACTTGTCGAAGAGGTCGTAGAACTTGCCCTGGTACAGCTCCAGGAACGAGATGGTGACCTTGAATTCAGGCTCCATGACACCCTGAGCTCACACAAATGGGCAGGTGACATGAGCAAGTGCACAAGTGCATGCAAGAGCTTGAGCCCAGCGTGCGCAAGGACGTGCATGGGACTCACGGAGGAGCGTGCTTCGTGTGTGAGGGTGTCGATTTGATGAAAGAGGTAGGTTGCCACGCGAGGCAAGATGCCGACGAGGTCGTCCGAGACACCTATGTCACAGCCCGTGCCCATGGTGTACGTCTTGCCAGACCCAGTCTACGCGGATGGCGGAAGCAAGGTACCAAGGGGAGGATCAGAGGCATGGGGAGAAGGCTGAGGAACAAGAAGGATGGTACTGTACAGCATGACGACACAGCATCGAGCAAGCCTCCACCATTGGTGACTCGGTCAGATGACCTCACACCACAAAAGCAATCACAACACGGCACAAACAAGGCAATGCACAACACAGTTTTCATGCCAGGTGTACACACTTGGCCATATGCGAGGACGGTGGCGTTTCTGCCTTGGATGGCCTTGTCAACCAGCTCTTGCACGCATGACGAGAAGATGGTGTGCTGATTTGCTGACATGGGGAAGACATCGTCAAAGGTGAACTGGTGCCTCTCCCCAAGCGTGATATGTGGCTCATTTGCTGTTTTGTGAGCAACGGCTCGCGCCTGATTTTCGAGTTCGGCAGAGTTCAAGGGCCTGATGCGCACGGCCACGCGCACGTTCTCTGTTTCCGGCTCGTCTCCGTCCGCCATCGTTGCGACCGTTCACCGCAAGCGCGCACTGGTGAGTGCTGGGTGCGTACGTGTGTGCCCGTTGCTCCAAAGCCCGCCGACCTCAGGCTTTCCTTGTGTGTGTGCGTGTGTGTGTGTGTGTGACACAGCGGAGAGGATGGAGGGAAGAACGTGGTGGGTGGGAGAAAGGACAGCCTTGTGTCAACACAGGGCTGTGTCTGTGGTGGTCTTTGTGGTTGTTGTCGTTGGTTGTTGGCTTTTGCCTCTCGCTTGCGTTGTTGTCGTGCTCGCATTCGTTACTCGTTGTGTGCATTTCGCTGAGTCAGCAAATTTCCCTTGTTCTTCGCATCCAAATCAGCATTCCCTTGCTCTCTTTCTCGTACCCACCGCGTACACCCCCAAACAAGTGGGTGTAGGTTTGTGTGTATGTATGTATGTGTGTGTGTGTGTTTGTGTGTGTGTGTGTGTGTGTGTGTGTGTGTGTGTGTGTGTGTGTGTGAGTGTGTGTGTGAGTGTGTGTGTGTGTGTGTGTGTGTGTTTGGGCGTGGATATCCTCGTCCCTGGCCCTCAATAGCTCAATAGCTCAATGCTCAATGCAACCCTGCAATCACATACAAAAAAAGAGACGAAGAGCGAAGAAGCAAAGCTATCACTCTCGCCTCACCGATGCCATCCATCCCCATCTCCCGCTCATTACCAACCCTTTTCCTTCCGTCCGCTTCCCATCCATCTCATTGCAGGCAGCGAAGATGCCGATTGTGCAGCGCACGGTGGAGCCGACGGTGTTGTGCCGACAGCCGTTGCCACCACGCTGCCGCAATGACTTGGAGGCTGCAAGCGTGCAGAGCATGAGCAACCTCATTCGACAGCTCAGCGACGTCGCCCGCCACGCCCACGAGATGTTCACCGCCCTGCACAAGGATCTGGAGCAGCTGAACGAACGCGCAAAGCGCACGCGGGACCGCATCGGCGGCATTGCTCACGCCGTGGTTCGCCGCACCGACGACGCTGCACGTAATGAAAGACATGTTTGTGCGTTGTTGTTTAAGTTGTTGTTGTTGTTTGAGTTGTCGTTTGAGTTGTTGTTTGAGTTGTTGTTTGAGTTGTTGTTTAAGTTGTTGTTGTTGTTGTTGTTGTTGTTGTTGTTGTTGTTGTTGTTGTCGTTGTTGTTGTTGTTGTTGTTGTTCTTCTTCTTCTTCTTCTTTTTCTTCTTCTTCTTCTTCTTCTTCTTCTTCTTCTTCTTCTTCTTCTTCTTCTTCTTCTTCTTCTTCTTCTTCTT